TTAGAGAAGGTTCGATGAGGTTCGATGTGCTTGAACCTCATCGAACTAGTGCATAAGCAACCTACACACCTTGTTTCCCATATAACGATGTAGATAGAGAAGGTTCGGTACAGTCGAACCACCCCGAACTTGTGTAAAAGAACTCTATATACCTTGTTATCTCTGTGAGGATGTAGTTAGAGAAGGTTCGATGAGGTTCGATGTGTTTGAACCTCCCCGAACCGGTGCATATTGCACCTTGCACACCTTATATCCCCTGAAGAGATGTAGTTGGAGAAGGTTCGGTACAGTCGAACCACCCTGAACTCGTGTAAAAGAACTCTATATACCTTGATATAAGGATGTAGTTTGAGAAGGTTCGATGAGGTTCGATGTGCCTGAACCTCATCAAACTAGTGCATGTAGCACGCTGCACTCCTTCTATCCGCTGTAAGGATGTAGTCAGAGAAGGTTCGGTCCAGTCGAACCACCACGAACTCATGTAAAAGAATTCTATATACCTTGCTATCTCTGTGAGGATGTAGTTCAAGAAGGTTCGAAGAGGTTCGGTGTGTTTGAACCACCCCTGTAATGATGTAGTCAGAGAAGGTTCGGTCCAGTCCAACCACCACAAACTCGTGTAAAAGAACTATAAATACCTTGTAATCTCTGTGAGGATGTCGTTTGAGAAGGTTCGAAGAGGTTCGGTCTCTGTGAGGATGTAGTTCAAGAAGGTTCGAAGAGGTTCGGTGTGCTTGAACCACCCCTGTAATGATGTAATCAGAGAAGGTTCGGTCCAGTCCAACCACCACGAACTCGTGTAAAAGAACTCTATATACCTTTCTATCTCTGTGAGGATGTAGTTTGAGATGGTTCGAAGAGGTTCGGTCTCTGTGAGGATGTAGTTTGAGAAGGTTCGATGAGGTTCGATGTTCCCCGAACCGGTGCATATTGCACCTTGCACACCTTATATCCCCTGAAGAGATGTAGTTGGAGAAGGTTCGGTACAGTCGAACCACCCGAACTCGTTTAAAAGAACTCTATATACCTTGTTATCTCTGGGAGGATGTAGTTAGAGAAGGTTCAATGAGGTTCGATGTGCTTGAAACTCATCGAACTAGTGCATATAGCTCCATGCACTCCTTCTATCCCCTGTAAAGATGTAGTTGGAGAATTTTCGGTCCAGCCGAACCACCCCGAACTCGTGTAAAAGAACTCCATATACCTTGCTATCTCTGTCAGGATGTAGTTCGAGAAGGTTCGAAGAGGGTTCGGTGTGCTTGAACCACCCCTGTAATGATGTAGTCAGAGAAGGTTCGGTCCAGTCCAACCACCACAAACTCGTGTAAAAGAACTCTATATACCTTTCTATCTCTGTGAGGATGTAGCTCGAGAAGGTTCGGTATAGTCGAACCACCCCGAACTCGTGTAAAATAACTCTATATACCTTGTAATCTCTGTGAGGATGTAGTTCGAGAAGGTTCGATGAGGCTCGATCATCGAACTAGTGCATATAGCACCCCGCACTCCTTCTATCCCCTGTAAAGATGTAGTCAGAGAAGGTTCGGTCCAGTCGAACCACCCCGAACTCGTATAAAGGAACTCTATATACCTTGCTATCTCTGTGAGTATTTAGTTGGAGAAGGTTCGAAGAGGTTCGATGCGCTTGAACCTCCCCGAACCGGTGCATATTGCACCTTGCCACAAACTGCGGGCTGTCAATGAGTGGGATGGCACTACTCTGGCTGACGCTAAACCACAGGTGAGGGGGGGGGGTGTGCCTGTGGCATGTACACACCCCCTGTACTGGCCGCCCCTTTCCTGCCCAGGTTGTTCCTCAAGCCGCTGCCGGATGACCTCTGCACCAAGTACCCCGCCAAAATCAGGGCAGGACTGAGTGGCGACACACTTCACCATTGCAGAAGAAGGACATAATGTGGGACGGTGTAAGGGAGGAGCCAGTGGTAGGGGCCAGCAACTTACCTGTGTCCATTGTCTACCCCCATGCCAAGAGGGGGAAACTAGAATGAACTGAGAAGGTAGAGAGCAAAGTGTGTAGAGCATGTATGTGTCACCCGTGTGTGCATATAGTTCTAGTTAACCCTCGCTGTGCATGCGCGCCAAGGGTTAACTAGCTACAGACCACTGGGATGTGTAGTGAAAATGTCTGAACTATAATTATACAGAATGACCACTATAAATTTTGCCCCTGGGCTGGCTTTCGTTGTTTACTGCAAATGGTCCTGGTTATGATAACCACCACCCCCACCCCCACCCCAACTATGCCATCAAGTGGTGTTTTGAAGCCAGCACAAAATACACAGCATAAACATTGTGTTTGTTTAAGACTGTTGTTTTCCCGACTATAGCTGCACCTACTGGGGTATTTGTACGCAGTCTCATCCATAGAGCCAAAGGGTACTGTGAAGACTTGTTTATACACGATGGAAGGAAAACTTACTCAAGCATTCCAGTTATCCGAAGTAGTAAGATCATCACCAAAAATAACAAGGAAGCAACGTTTGCTTAGCTCGCAATGGAGAATGCGGTTGGAGTTCACTATTCTGGTGGTGATGATTGTGATTGTGTGGGGTCTCTTTTCACTACCAATTGTGTTTTACTATGACTCTTCTTCAAAGGTACGGTACCTATAGCTGCCAAACGAGATGTTTTTTCTCATGCAACAAATGCTACTATGTCCACTCAAGTCAGTGCATGCCCAGAAGTGCTGTGTGCCTGTCAAGAACAAACAGGGCCGGTTGACAAGACACTAGGCAGTTATTCTAGACTCTTGCACGACGTCACACGGATTAATCAGTTCACTTCCAAATGTGAAATGGTCACACAGGTTAATTATATACCAACTTGAAAGGCGAGTGAAGCGAACCTAACAAAAGTTAGGTGTCAGGTGCTGTCGCACAAACTCTCGTATTAATGTAAACTATAGTTTATTAATTTTCTTGAGAAATGATATTGGGTGAGGATTTTTGCATCTGTGTAAACAGTACATATCCGTATTTTTTGTTTCTTGCTTGTGTCTATCTTTTCTTTGTTTTTGTGACGTGCGTGCACACAATATGCGGTCGCAGTACGCATCACGCGAGTCTACATGCACTCAAGAGTATGAGAAAACAATGGTCAAGCAGGACAGACCTGTACCGTTCAGCCATAGATAGCCATAAATAAAATGGTTAGACACTACCTTGGAAACTACGTACTATAGTCAGCCTGGGAAGCCACCCTTACTGCGTTCAGGACGTTTACAATCTGAGACATAAACGATGGATTTCCCACAGGTACGCATCAAACCTATGTTTATTGTTTTCCAGGAACAAAATGAGAGAGAAAATTTTACAAACTTTCTCAATAATACTGATCGTGATTTTGGAAACATGAGTGGTGAATGCTACCACAAGTATACTGGAAGTCATTGTATGACTGTACTTAAATCATATGCTGATTGTGAGTCCCCTGGACGTATTACAACCGATGTGCATGTCAGCAATGCTGTCATGGATCAAAAGTCTGTTGAAGACATAGTCAACAATATAATGTTTGCACTTGACTTATACATAAATCCAAGTGATGAGTGTAGGAAAGCACTGGTTCCACTCTTGTGTCTGTACTACTTTGGCCTTTGTGGCACATACAATACTGACTATCGACCGACAGCAGCAGAGTGTAGGGAGGTTAGAGATGCCACCTGCCAATCAGAGTGGAAAACAGCAGAAAAGTTGTTGGAATTGTCAACTCAGCAATTTATGCTACCTGATTGCTCGGGTCTCAATGACGAAGGACTTGAATGCAATGAAGGTTTGCAGCAGTGACCCCCTTGTCTGTGTGTGCATTATGATTTTTTCTTTCTCAGTATTCACCATCATTGAGACAAACTGCGCAATTGTGTGTCACGAGCATTTTTACTGTGACAACAACTTCTGCAAGCCACGATGTGATGGGTTCACAATCTACTCTGATGAATATGTAAAGCTCTCTGATGGACTCTTGATCACATCTGGATGTGTTGGACTGCTCTGTGGAATTGCAGTGGTTGTCGTATTTTGCGTCCGACGCAAGAAACTGGCAGAACCTTAAGTGTCTTGAGTCTTACGTATTGTAACAAGAGGATAATATTCTCCCTGTGAAAAACATTCTTTGAGCTAGTCCTGTAGTGCTTTACACATTTAAAACTAGCTGTATTGTAAACATAGATGCAAAACCAACAGGCTCATGCATTGCAGCTCATTAGAAGGCCTTGCTATAGCTGAATACCAGATGTTTCTATGATGTAAACTCACATCACACGATATTAAGTAACACTTTTGCTACTGTGGCCAGCCAACTTAGTCATTTCCTAAGTGGTACTGCAGCAGTGATTGTCAGGCTATTCTTTTTTGCTATATATGCGGGACTAGATATCACCAAAGTGTGGGTAGGCTTGCACATGGTGTTTTTTTAGTATGTCACAGAGCACTATAAGTCAAGCACTACACTTTGTGTGTACTACTAATGTAGATGTGGTATTTATGTATTGATATCTAACGACACCAGTAACATATTTAAACCTACCATATTTTTCGTAAGTAAATACAATAGCATAATACTTTTAATATCATTTTTTGCTAACTTTAGAATGATGTTTCCAACAATTCTGGTCTTCTACATGACAATCTCCATTCTAATTGTGGGTAAGTTCATCATAGGAACTGTCCTACCATAACCGCATTAAGCAGAACTTGTGCTTTGCTGCATGTATATCTGCATGTACATACTAGAATTTATCATTCTGGTGTCGTTTACGGATCGGCCAACGCTATTCTGTGGTTCTCCTGACCTAATAGAGAGTCTACGATCATCAACAGATTTCTGTAAATTTAGTGGTAAGTTGTACTGACATGAAACGATGATTGCTTAATCACAATGCAGTATTAATGACATTAGCTAATACAAAAAGTAAACAAAATAGGTAAAGGCAAAAGATGTATTAGTTAACGTACAGGCGGCGAGGCGGTATAGCATAATAATACTCCGAGGCTGTTGACTCTACCAGACGAGGGCGGAGCCAGAGGCCCGTATAGTTAACAGCCGAGAAGGATATCCTGTATACGCCGAGACGCCTGACGTTAACTGATTTGTAGTCCAACTAGCCAATCACAATGCTGAATATCTGCCGCGTCATCCTACTAATGTACTAAATTGTTATGTAAACTTTGGGAGTCAGACAATTTGCACTACACCTAGCGGTAGATGTTGTGATAAGGACTTCCTGTCCAGTAGTGATATTGGTCAGCCACAGCTCAGAATACAGCGTATATGCCAAGCGCCGGATTGTTGAAAGTTGGACTACAAATTTTGATATCTAACCAGGGCAAAAGAATGTATGTGGCGT